ATAGCACCTGGAAGAGGCGAGCGGGGAGCGCGTCAAGGGCTGGGCCCTGCAGCCCTCTTGCAAAAGAGGGACTGAAGGCTGGAAGGAGGGAGCGTTAAAACGTTTTTCTAAAGGAAGGCGCATAAATCCCAGCGCGGATTAATTACAGCATGAAGTGGGAGCTTATAAATAGCTGCGTTCCCTACTGAACTGGCAACAGCCACCCGTCCACAATGGAGCTCTCTGTCCCAGAAGCAGAGCTGGTAACATGACTCACTACAGGCGCATTCGAAATCAAGAATGCAAAGCTACCCACGGGGCTCCAAGCGGCACAGGGAATTACACGGAGAAAGAGGGCAGTAAGACGAGGCAACTCGCCGAAGCTTCAGGAGCTGTTCCAGTTCCTTCCCAGGCAAGTTAAGGCAAAGCGGAGCTTCGCCAAGGAACCGCGTTTTGAGAGCGCGATCACCCCCACCCCGTGGACGTGGGGTGAGAAGCGGGGTAAGGAAGCCGCTCAGAGCTCCCGAGGCTAGGACATACTTGCGGCAAATCATTTTGTCGCAGTTGTACTTCTGAGCAAGCTGGCGAAGGGAAGGCTCGATGATGCCTCCGCGCAGACGCAGCACCAAGTGCAGGGTGGACTCTGAAACCAAGACAGATGCCACTGCGTCAGCCTCGCTGCAGGAGCGAGGCACGGCCGGGCAGCGCCCAGCACCCGGTCCCCAAAGCTACTGTGGGTCACCGTGCGTTCGGAAACCTGCGTCCAGCCTGTTGGATTTCTTTTGTATTAAAACAAGCGTAGGATACCTTTCTGGATGTTGTAGTCGGAGAGCGTACGCCCATCTTCCAGCTGCTTGCCTGCAAAGATCAGCCGCTGCTGGTCCGGAGGGATACCTGCGAGAGACAAAGGCATCAAATTGGGGCGCTGTTTCGGCTTAGTCGCGGCACGGGGACTGAGGAGCGAACGGGGGAGGGCGTCAGCGCAGCGGGGAGCGGGGCCGGTCGCCGGTACCTTCCTTGTCCTGGATCTTGGCCTTGACGTTCTCGATGGTGTCGCTGGGCTCCACCTCGAGGGTGATGGTTTTGCCCGTCAGGGTCTTCACGAAGATCTGCATCTTGGCACCGTGTGGCCTGCGGGAGAGCAGCGGCCGCCGTCACCCCCGGAGCGGGTCCTACCGGGCAGGGGGGGGAGGGGGGCG